CGACGTCACTCCAAAGGATCATCCAAGCACTTACGTTCACTTGATATATGTTCTATATAAATACTACGCTGAATACTGTCGAGAAATCCCGCTGATAGTAAATACTTGCGGGTGGATAAAAGGTATGCAAAGCAGAAATATGGAAAATTGGGTGGGGCAGGGTCTTAGCTAGAAGGCCGTGTTGGCCGTGTTATCGCGACCAAAAATATAAAAACACGGCTACATGAAATGAACGCGGCTTCAGTATTTATTTTTGGCCGTGCATGTGGGTTCATAAAATAAGGTGTTTCTACTTACAACCATACATACATAATTTCTTCGTAAAATATTCTCAGTTGACTGAAATAATTTTAGCAAATTTATAGCCTATATAAATTTAAGTTAATGAGACAAGGTGTGATGGTAAGATGAGGTGGTAGATATGGTTTATATCAACCTAATCTTTGACAGTTAGGTCAAAGATCTTGACAGATAGGTCAAAGATCATCTTCTGCCAGCTAGCACACATTCACGTGAACAAACCGTGAAACACACTGTGAACCAATTGAAAACCTTGTACAACTCTGTTCTGTGCTTTGACCAATCATAGGGCACAACACAGCCCATCCTAATTGGCACATAACATGCACGAGTTCATGCAAAATAACGTAATTTACTCTGAGATGTCGACAGAGTAACATTATCGAAAGATTTTCAAAATATAACTCTACCACTGGCAAGCGCTTTTTACTCTTCTGGTGGACAAAGGAATATGTTGGCTCAAGTACCGATATGTGATTCAGTGAGACGTAGTTTATTCAAACATAACTCTGCCACGGGCAAGGACTTGTACTCGTCTGGTGGACAAAAGAATACGTTGGCTCAAGTATCGATGTACGATCCAGTGAGACGCAGTTTATGCTGTTTATCCAATATAACTCTACCGTGGTCAAGTGCTTTAACTCTTCTGGTGGCCTAATGAATACGTTGGCTCAAATACCGATGAAGTTATTTCCATTTAATGAAACCGCCGCTGGGGGAATTATAACAAGATCGAGAGGCTACATAAACACGAAATATTCAACTAGCGTACGTGCTTAAGTGAAACGGATATATTTGGTGCGTATATTTAAAAGTTGCGGCGAATTCACACGTTTGTTTCGTGTTACGCTTTTCAAACCAACCAAAATGCTTTAACTTCGTCTATTTTATCACAGAATTTGGGTATATATAGTAATTGTCGAGCGCCAAATGTATCGACTAACGTTGCATGAAACAAATTTGGTAGAATTTGCATGAATATATGAACAGAACCGTCTACTAAAGAATGAAAGAATGATCGAATAGATATACAAGCGAACTCTTATGCATCTCAAGTGCCCCTGACACAAAATTTTTTTTTCAGTCTATTGAAAGTACTCATTTAGCATAGTGTTCTAGCGAAAGAATTTTTCGATTTCATCAAAACGAAAAAATTTTAGAGGCGTTTGAATCCAAATATTTTTGGCTAATGGCCGTCGTCGACAGAAGTCTGGCACTAGCATTTATTCTGACGTCACGCAAGGGAGTCGAGTCTTGATGGTCTGTTAA